TCGAAAAAGAAAAAAGAAACATGGTTTCCAGCTTGGACAGTTGGACGGAAGAAAAAAAAAACTCAAATAACTTTGGAACAGATGAAGGGAAAGTAAATTATGCCATAAATTTTCAATTTCGTGTGAACCATCCCATTAAATTAGGTTTTTAAAAAGTTAAATCATCCTTTTTTGACCTAATGCTGCCCACGATAATTGATATCTTAACCCTGAGCAAAAATGGTCAGATGCCAGAGATTTGCATTAACCCTTTAATGCACAAACTGCTGTGAGACAGGAAGCTACGGTGGGTTGATTTTCACAGCCAAATCTGAGCTTCCTCCCACCAGCTTACACTTCCAAAAGCTCGTTCTGCCCACTCTCTGACCCAGGCCGTAGGTGCTTCACAAACAGCCTTACAGTTAGACACCAGATATACTGGAAGAGCTCAAGACTGCAGCCCACAACAGCAGCACCAGTTCTAGCAAAGCGGCCTCTGTGACAGTGGAAGGTCTGAGTCAGTTTGCTTGCACACACACCCCCTCTTACCTGTCAAAGTCTCTTTTTAACCAGGACACCTGGACACAACCACTGAGATGTGAGAGGTTCTGAAACGAGGACCTTCTAGCACATCAGGGCTGAAGTGAGAATCAGTTAACAGTGCAAACCCACAGATTGCATGAAAGAGGTGCATAGGTGACGAGAGTGCGATTTCATCATGTGTGGTAAACAGTTTTGTGAACGCGTGCGAGAACATAACATGGAACTCAAAACCATAGAGACGGTCGCAGTTCACAAGAAACCTATTTACAGTATTTAACATTCTATTTCAATAATAATTCAAGCAAAGGGCTGCTTTCATCTTTATCAATCCGCATTTTATCTAATACCACAGAAAAAAACAGCTAGGACGCAATTGAGTTCATGTGAATCACTCAGCTGTAGAAGTTAGATATCAAGTTGGTTATCAAGTATTAAAAAATTTGCATGAAAATGAGGGGTGACACTTCTGATGATAAGACAGGATGTTATCAGTGTGATTCATAAGATTCCAGCTATTAAAATAAAAAGGCAACCAAAAAAAGTGTGTATAAACTAGCAAAAAGGCTATCAGGTTATGTCCAGTGATGTATGGTCACTAAATCTTAAATTTTATGTTGATGTACTTTACAACTTGCACGCCTAAACAAAAAGTTTTCTGTGATTTATTAAATACAACTGCTGTGATGTGATGAAATTATTTTCTAATAAATAATATTATAGAAAATATGTCTTTTACACAGGACAATCGTTAAGCACAAAAAAACACATTTTAAGAAGAAGTTTAAATAAATATGTAAAAATACACCAAACAGGCCATATGTAACAAACATATTTGTTACTAGCTGATGTTAGTTAACTTCAAGCAAAACAATACAGCATGCCATTAATCACTGAGATGTGAAGATTTTGCACAATCTGGCTATAGTTATTATGACTTATAAGTATGGCCAAAAAGAATCTGCAGACATTTTTTGCTATTTCTGCAGAGAATTTTATAAAAACTCTGCGGATTTATGCGGAATGATTTTAGGAGTATCATTACTAAAAATGTAATATATGAGATAAAAAAAATTGCTTTTTAACTTTTATTTAGTGTTTAAAATGCTAATCCAGTTAGATCCATTTATTTAGTAAACAAAGCAAGTCTCTCATATAATATACTACTAAAAGACAGAACATATTACTTTACAAACTGTATTGTAAACAAATCATTTAAACATTTTAATATTACTATTATTATATCACAATAATATTAGTGAAGTTAATTTTAAAAGTGAAAAAATATCAATTTACACACACTTGCACAAATAAATACATTAACGATCTAGATGTAAAGTCTAAAGCGCATGGCGCAAAAGCCTTAAGGGCATGTCAGAATGAACTTTTGCTATTTTTTTTTTTTCGGGGGTTTCACCTTTATTTTTGATAGGACAGTAGAGAGAATTGACAGGAAAGCATGGGGAGCAGAAAGAGGGGAAGGATCGGCATAGGAACGCGAGGCGGAATCGAACCCGGGTTGCCGTGAGCACCAGAGTGCATGTGTCGACGCACTAACCACTACACCACTGGCGCCGACATCCACTTTTGCTATTTTAAGGACGAAAAAAAATAACCTCTGCACCGTGACGCATGATCTAACAGGGTTGTGCTTATTGTCTTAACGAGTTATGGGTGTGCTTTGAGCATAAACAAGTCTCATTTTCCATTCCCTTTAAGCCCCTGTTTACACTAATGCGTTTTCGCTTGAAAACGCATAAGTTTTGCAACGGTTACGCTATCCGTCCACACTACAGCAGAGTTCTCGAGCGCCGAAAACTGAGTGTTCTAAAAACACTGGAGAGGCCGTTTTCATTTTGAAACGCTGCTGCTCCATCTCAGTATGGATGAGGAAAAACGGAGACATCTGAAAACGGAGGCGGGACTGCTGAGATTCGCTACCTGATTGGGGCTTTTGTGTTATTGCGTATCCTTCCCTTATTCGTCAAGCCCCTATCACATGACTATAACACTACCGGAAGACAGTACTGTAAACAACAACACGGACACAGAAATGGGAGCGATGTTTGCACTATTGTCTGTTTTAGGCGCCATTGTGCAGTTATTCATTTGTTACGTTTACGCCTGTTTCACACCGCAAGCGTCAGCGGCGCGTGAGCAGAGCGTGAGCAGCGCGTATGTCGAGCAGAAGCAGCACGCAGGCGTTTGCCTTTCACACCAGCTGCGTCTGCAGCGCGCAGCTCTTCGGCAGCTGCTGCTGAGATCAACCTATCTCTGTCTATTCTATCTAGTTACCCCTCTATATACAAATACACTTTTTAAACTTTTCATCTGTACCAAGGCCCCTCCTATGCTGTTTCATTAACCTGCAAATGTTTATTTTACAAATTGTATAGATCAAATAGTGCTGTATGCTTCTAAAGCTAACTTATATGAGAAGTGTCTACAGTCAGAAGACAATCGCCTGTGATATCATGTCATTTGTTTTTTGATTATCAGGTTACTGTAGACCTAGTTATAATCATATTTATACAATATAGTTATAATGATATTTATACTTGATCAAACTAGTGTTAATTTCTCCGCTTCAGTAATGTCCAGCGGCAGAAAAACAGCTCGTTAATTCATGCTCGTGCAGATGATGAGACGGACAAAAGTAATTAATGCATGCCATTCTTTTACTTATTTTCGTGTTGTCAGATTCACAGTGCAAACAGCTCCCGGTAGGAATAATTCGAGTGAACATAAAACAAAGCCGATTAAAACTTTCTTGCTCTGCTAGCTGCACAGAACACAGCGAGCTCACATAATCCAGCATGCGTGTCGCACTACACTACCCACAATACACTTCGCTATGGACTACAAATCCCGTAAATATTCCATTTCCCCTCTCCTACAACACTAGTGTGCAACTTAAGCAAAACTGATAGTAAAATAGTTTTACATTTGGTTTTGTAGTTCGTGCCTAAATAAATGTTTGTTGCCGTTTTTAATCGTTTTAAGTTCATTTGAATGACTATATATAAACCATTTGACATTATTAACGCATTTATTGGGTAAAATTGTTAGTTTTTACTGTCATTCAATGTGTTTTGGTCATTCTCAATGCACTGTCACTTTAATTGAGCGTGAGCAGCGCGTCAAAAATAGACCCAGCGCCGAAACTATCGCTGCACTGCTGCTTCGGCGACGCTCACGCCTCGCACTGACGCGCTGCTGCTGCGTGCGGTATGAAAGCTCTAATCTGTTAACATGGACGCCGAAAACACACGCGCTGCTCACGCTCTGCTCACGCGCCGCTGACGCTTGCGGTGTGAAACAGGCGTTAAGTAACAATTCGACCTCGTCGTCTGTCCACAAAAATACCTCTCTTGCTTTCTTTGCCATCGCATTTAATGTTCAAAAGGCATTTGTTGACTAACAATAACCCAATGCCGAGCGAGACACTTTCTGTTTATACTAGAACGCGCATGCCCAGAGTGTGCGAATGGTCACGTGATATACGTTTGTGGTGGCGTAGTGAGGACGTTGATATGTTCAGAGACGCTAGGTGAAACGCTAGTGTGGACGCGGATCGTTTTTGATCTAAAACGCTGTTTTAAAACTAAAACGCACTAGTGTAAACTGGGCCGAAGAGTTAGTTCATCTGCGATATGGCGCATTTCCCATTTTCATGGTGGACTTTGTAAGTGGAAAAACTGAATGCTTCACTGGTGAGAAGCAGTTAAACAGACCATCTGCAGCAGGATGATAAAGAATTAGCCACCTCCAATCAGCCTTTACTTTCACTTTCTATTTCTCTCTTTCGTGGATAAGGAAATGTGTTGTACGCTTAGACAACCATTAGCCTATATGATTAATTTTGTTTGTTAAGTGCAAAGATTTGTTTCAAAACTATTTCTAAACTCAGTTATAATTTCCAGCAAATGAATAAATGAACAGTAATACCGAAGTGTTATCAAAAAACTTAGTTATATTTAAACACGCATGCTATGCCACATTTGGTCCAAAACCCTACAGGTGAACACATCTAAGCTTTTTTTTTTAAATAAAAACAAATATGAATATGCTTTAAATATACTTTACAGTAAATTATCCATTTAAATATTTGACTCAAAAAAATACAAAACATTGTAATATACTTGTTTTGGGAAGTTTATTAAATCATGGTATGGCAACCTTTCAGTTGAATCAAAAACACAAATTGTGTTGGTGCAAATAGCCTAGTGATTAGTGCATTGACATAAAGCACAGAGGTGCTCATGGTGACTTGGAACAATACCTTTTATCAAAGTCGTACTTAACCCCCATTGAACAATCCACATTTTTATTTTGGGACTATTTTTAAAAACATTTTTCATCCGCTTCAAATATTGACCACTGTGTCTTGTTAGAAAAATGTAAAAAAAAAAAATTTGAAAAAGCAAGTAAAATTTAAAAAGTCAGCAATGAAAACATGAAAACATTTAATTTGGCCTTACTGAGGTCAAGCACGTCATCAGTCTTGATGAGATCCTCCGGTCGTGTGAGAGGAAGCTGAGTTTCTGGTTCACCCTGTAGCTGTAAGGACAGCGATCGCAGCATGAAGAAAACACGGATAGCCTGCAGGGACACAAATAAGTAGCTGAAGCTGTAACAACAATCAATTATGAACACGCAGCATAAAAGATCTCAATCTTCCTGGAGTTCATGCTCCACACGAGTGCAAAGAATTTTTTTCAAAAAAATGTAACTCAAATCAAGAAGCACAACCATACTGTAACATTTATAGAGAGTTGTCTTGATATATTGATATGTTTCAGCAATACTATATTTAAAATTGCATCTCTTGGTACAGTTTTATGAATGCATTGCTTTATGCATCATTCAAGCAAACAGTCCTTACATTTGTTCTATGCATATATTAATAAATGTAATAACAACTCTGGCTGATTCTCAATATACGTTTTTCAGTGATCTTGCACCTTTTGTGTTATCGTGTAACGATATCATCAACTGCCAAAGTTCAGTTCCAAAACTCAAGACCGCAAGGATGGAGGACAACTAAAAGTTCCCGAATGTGTTTTTGGTATCGAGGATGCACCGATGCAGAATTGACTACTGGGACTACTAGAGCGAGTTCGATGCTCATTTCGACTGAATAAAGAACATGGGAAGCGCAGCATTTTATATACATTCATTATTAACGTTCGGAGATATAACTTAATTTTTTTATGAGTTTCCCTAAATGAGAGGGTGAAAGTAAACATTCCTTGGAAAACAAACACATTAGGGTGTTTATTTGCAGAAATATTTTTATTTGTATTGTAGGAATCAGGAAGAGTGCAGCATCTCATTTCTCAAAGGATGCGTTCAGTGTTCTCGCGGTCTCCCGAGTTCGTTCTTCCAAGGTAACATGGAAAGACCAGTTTTCACCAGAACAGGAGTATGCTATCTGCAGTCTTGGAATTGAGAAACAGCCATAATTTCAGAATAATACGATTCCAAAATTTAAAATACCTCAGAAAAACTGCAAAGAACATCCTAAATGGATGTTTGTACAAAAGTCTGAAAAATGTACTGTATTTGCCAAGTCTACAAAACCTGCTCCAACAGAATTAGGCAATATAATCATTTAGAAATAAAAATAGCACTAAAAATGTTAACCTTTTATTCCCATTTAGCCTTCCTATAAACAATAAATAAAAAATAAACATAAACCTATCAGATTCACCTTACTATAATCTTTAAATTCTTGCATAAGTTGGTTATTCATAAAAACTTAAACAACAGACTGCTTTGGCCACAATAAAAGAGCAAGCTATAATTATTAAGAATGTTAGTTTCTCTGCTGTCCCACTATCTTATATAGCATAATATAGCACAAAAGGCAACTTTGATAAATATATTATTAGTATTGACAACAGTTGCATGATATTGAAAAAAAAAATGACAATGCAATTTTTTTTTACAATATATATTGCGATATTGAATACATAATGTCACCATATGAAATGAATGGGTCTATTTGGAAAGAAGTCATAACTTTTTATACACCAGGATTATTTTTTTAAAGGAAGTGCATCTTCATAAAATATAATAAACCAATCAAAAACATTGAGAAATACAGTGATGACAATATTGTACAAACAAAATATACAGTGCTCGATGACTTTCTGGAAGTCTAGCAATATTCAGATACACAAATTTAGTAATCAAATGTAAAATAACACCTTATAGTCTTCATCGTAAATACAGATAAATACAAGTATCGTAATGTCTTATGACTTAAATAATAAAACACACATAACAAATATTTAATATTATAACGTTATGCTTAAACATTGTAATGGCTTGAACGTTTTCAAATCAATTATAATACCAGTTCGATATTGTAGATTCTGCGATGAGAATATTTCAGATGCGCACATTATGACAGTGAAGCTGAAACTATATATTGTGCAGCCTTAGTATTGACTGAACAATCTTGGCATTTTATTGTTGGCCTTTCATTCATGTCCACAACTGCATCTCTAAACACACATACTTGCCATTCAGACCAAATTAAGTCGATATTCTGCATTACCCACACAGCAGAAAGCCTGCCATTGTTATACCTCTAAAACACATGAAATCCATTTATAAAATGCAGTGCATGGTTTCCCAGAAGACAAACAGTGTAAACACTGGCCAAGAAACACAAGCTTTCTTGCAACGTGAGAAAAGGGAGGTTTTGGATAAAGCCAAAATATTTGACAAAAGGCCACGGGATCCATGCAAATAATTCAATCTCAGGGCTTTCAGAATGAGTGTATGTGTTTATGACTGACCCTGCGTGTCCTCTCCACATCTCCACAGGGCAACCGCTTCACAAAGTCAATGCCGGTAAGGGGTGTGCCAGTGGGAGGAAGCAAAATGGACGCATCCATCATAAGATACTCCACGTTTAGAGGCTTACTCTATAAACACATACACAAAGAGAAAAAGTAAAGACATTAAACACTAGATTTGGTAGTTGGTACTGGTTTCTCAAGCTTAAGTTAGTGTTTACTGGGTCAGTAAGTTGTGGTTATGTGTGACATTTGAATTTTTATTTCCACATATTGTAACTCATTAAACACAAAAGGTACATTTTTAATGAAAATCCAGGCCTCCGTTTTAATTATAGTAACAGTTAATAATGATTAACAAGGCTGTCAAGCTAAAAAAAAATAGTAATAAAATGAAGAAGCATAAATAGAAATTATGGAAGTGACAAGAGTCTATACTACCCTCTACACAATGTCTGTTTGCAACATGTCAATCATATGAAACAACAGTACGCTAATCATACGTAGTAGTTTAATGATACTTTGTTTATAACTAATTATTAAACACACACACACACGCACGCCCGCACAGTTGAAGTCAGAATAATTAGTCTTGAATTTTTTTTTTTTTTTTTATATATTTTCCAAATAATGTTCAACAGGGCAAGGACATTTTTACAGTGAGTCTGATAATTTTTTTTTCTTCTGGAGAAAGTCTAATTTGTTTTATTTCGGCTAGAAAAAAAGCAGTTATTAATTTTTTTAACACCATTTTAAGGACAAAATTATTAGACCTTTAAGTAATTTTTTTTTTGATAGTCTACAGAACTAACCCCTGTTATACAATGACTTGCCTAATGTTAACCTGCCTAGTTAACCTAATTATTGTAGTTAAGCCTTTAAATGTCACTTTAAGCTGTATAGAAGTGTCTTAAAAAATATCTAGTCAATATTATTTACTGTCATCATGGCAAAGATAAAATAAATCAGTTATTAGAGATGAGTTATTAAAACTATTATGTTTAGAAATGTGTTGAAAAACTTCTCCGTTAAACAGAAATTGGGGGAAAAATAAACGGGGTCCAATAATTCAGGCTTCAACTGTATATACATATTTATTTATTTATATTTTATTCATTCCCTGGAAGGAAGTATGGCACACAGGTTTGCTGCAACCTAAAGGAAGTAAGTTATGAACATCACCAGGAAACAATTTTCTGCTAAAGGAAGCAGTTAAGCATTAGCCACTCCTTACCCAGAAATACTCTGATAACAGAGGCTTCTCTCACTTCTGAAGCAGGATGTGTTGCTGTATCATCAGGTTTTGACACACAGCAAGAGTAAAGTTGCAACAAAGACAACAATGATGTGTTCAGTAAAGCCGCTTACCATCATACTCCTGTACTCATCCTCAAACATATCCAGGAAGATCTCCTCCCCCTGAGGGAAGAGAAACAGTACAGGGAAACGATTACCAGACAGGAAAATAAAACACACAGTACCCTTCAGTTTGTGGTCATATATAATATAATATAATATAATATAATATAATATAATATAATATAATATAATATAATATAATATAATATAATATAATATAATATAATATAATATTGCATTATATTATATTATTTAGCAAGGATGATATGAAATAATACAAAAGTTATATAAAAAATTATATATAATATTTTATATATATATATATATATATATATATATATATATATATATATATATATATATATATAATTGAATAAATTATTTAAAAAAGTAATACTCACAAAAACATTAAGCAGTAAAACTGTATTTAATAATAATATAATGAAAATAATAATATAAAAATAATAATAATAAAATACTTTTTAATTATAGTAATAATAATAATAATAATAATATCTTATTTTGATAATTATAAAAATAACAGCAACAATAATGAGCATTTCTTAAGCAACAAGCCAACATATCTGAATGAATATTGAAAGATCATGTGACGGGGAAAGACAAATATCAATTAAAAGCTGACAATATGAATGAAGCACTCAACTTTGACCATACAGAAACTAATTTCTAATTGTTCTTATTTCAGGATGACTGTAACATTAAATGTAATGTTATTACTCAACTTGTGTCATCACCCAACATCAGCACTCTCAAAAGATCAATAAACATGAATCAGTGATTCACGCTCAGTCAATGAAAAGTCCCAATGGAAGGTTAAAGGGAAGAAACATGCTGAGAAAAGGCGGTAATAGCACAGAATTAAAAAGAAAAGGCGTATGAGTTCAATTATTCAGAACAGTCAGACTCCACAAATGGAGTAAAAAGCCATTTTGGTCACTGGATAATTTCAATGCTTTCAGTTCTGCTATTTCATTGTTTTGACTTCACTGTTATGCTGTAGCGCAGACAAAAGAAATGGCATATAGTAGGTGTGACCAGACTTCTGACTACTACATGTCTATTCAGTTTCTTGGAAAAGTCGGGACACGCTGATCCCATTATGTACGCCCGTAAGGAGCACAGATCAGATAGCAAAAACACAGGTCCTCCCAGGGCTCACTATAATCCCAGAACAGAACATTCAGTTATGTCATTATTTACATGCCGTCCTCAATCGTTCCAAACTTCTTTTGCATATAATGTTGTTTGGAATGTGCGTAATGCGTTCTTAAAAAGAGTTTTCAATGAAATGTGAAAGCAAAAGCTGCCCTCACAGAACACCATCACGGCAGACCACTCAAATTTCAGGACTTCTTGGAAAATGACAAAAAAAGTGAAGATTAAAATAAGGCCTGCAGGCTGCTATAAAACATGGGAAAAATCCTTTACTGAGAAGGAAAAAAAAAATGAAAAAAAAACAAAGGTTAAACACAATACTGTACTTTGCTGTCTTGCATGAATCTGAGTATTATTTTTAATGGCAGTACACTTTCACAGAAATGTCTCTATGTGAAAATACCACCAAGAGCGCTGACTTGTTTCAGCAGGAAACTGTTGGGATTTTCCAGAATATCAAAACAGCAAAGTCTTTAGGATGAGAGCTTAACTTTTCCTCAGACTTAAAAGGAAATCAAACGCAAGTGGGATGACTAGGGGATAATTACGAAAATGATTAGCAAGAGAGTCCGTTGCTTTAAACCATCCAGATTCCAGTAAGTGCTTAAACGCTGGTGATTTTCATTTGATCTGAAATAAAGGGAAAGACCATCTTGCCTTGTAAAATTGCCTCAGAAGGTGAAGACTCTCTTCTCGGGCTCCCTAAATATAAAAGAAGATCATTATAGAAATGACTGAGTTGCACAATATAAACATTTAAAAGGTCCCTTTTCCTGTAAATTAGACTCGTTTCAAAATAAGAATGAAAGCAGTCGTTACTCAATAAAAGAAAAATTACTGGGAAAAACCAAAGTGTCCATACTGTTAGGAAATGGTCGGTAAGTTAGACATATTAGGCAATCCATTTTGGATAGCCTTGTTTGCAGTTGTTGACAAGCCAATCAGCATGATTCAGTCTCTTTTTTAATATTACAAATTTCAAGGGGATCCTTTTCGGTAAGTGAGAGATAAATTCATGTGTATTTCCTTATCTTCAATAACAAAGCAGGTTATAAACAATACTCATCACTAAAACATTCACCACAATGTAGTACTGTTGAGTATTTCTCAAATATAATATACACGTATAAAGAAATATAGAATAGCACACATTTGACTCGTTTTAAATCTTGTTTTAAATTTTTTTCCTGGTAATTAAAAAAGTCACAGGTTTAAACCATGTAAAATAAGATCTGTTTTCCTGTGTTAATATGTCACCAAAATATCTTCATAAGAATACTCTAATGAAACATTCATTAATAAATAGTTGTTGGAAGTCTGAGAAAACAAGATGATTTAAGATCATTTAAGAGATTTGATTTTCCTACAGGTAAAATATTGCTCAAACTGGAATTCAAATATTACTTGCGTTTATGAGAGTGAATTAGATTAATATGTTTATTCATGTAAATAAGGGGTGTCCAAAATCAGTCCTGGCCGGTGTCCCTGCATAGTTTAGCTCCGACTTGCTACAACACACCTGCCAAGATGCTTCTAGTATACCTAGAAAGAGCTTGATTAGCTGGTTCAGGTGTGTCTAATTGGATTTGGAGCTAAATTCTGCAGGAAAACGGCCCTGCAGCACTGAGTAAATGATTCTTGTTCTTGATAAATTTCATTATTTGATCACAATTGGTATTATTTCAATATTTACTCCTTTTTGTTTGTTTGGTATTTATGTTTTCAATAATTTCTTACATGGGAAAAGTGATGTTATATATGCTAAACCATTTATCACAATATATTATGCTTTATAAATAACTTTTTGGAAAATAAAATGCCAAAAAAATGGTGAAATGATGATTCAACATATTAACTTATTGGAACTTGATCTTACAAAAATATATAAACTAGTAAGTGATTATCCAAATTTTTTATTACCTTTAAAACACTTAAAACCTTCTGACTGACAAATAGGTAAAACCTAGGAGTTTAATAAAATTAACTTTTCAGAGCTGCTCTGGGATAATTTAACAGACTCTTCCAGTAAGTCATCTATTAACTATTGCTGTAAGTCTTTGCTAAAAAAAAAAACTACTGTTATAGTGTATGACATTTAAGTAGGGGTCACATTTTGTAAAAATTTGATATATTGTATATATATTAATTGTGACAAAAGCATTTTATCTGCTGATGAAGAAAAAAGTCCACACGTGTACACATACAGTTGAAACCAGAAGTTTACATACACTCTATGAAAAGGCAAATTAGCATTTTTTATGTCAGATGTTAAATAATACTAAACATTTTCTCTTTTAGGTCAGTTAGGATTACCAAAATAATTTATATTTGCAAAATGTCAGAATGGGCGATGCGGTGGCGCAGTAGGTAGTGCTGTCGCCTAACTGCAAGAAGTTCACTGGTTCGAGCCTCAGCTGGGTAAGTTGGCATTTCTGTGTTGAGTTTGCATGCTCTCCCCGTGCTCGCATAGGTTTCCTCCGGGTGCTCCGATTTCCCCAACAAGTCCAAACACATGCGGTATAGGTGAATTGGATAAGCTAAATTGTCAGACTCCAGATGAATAGAGGTACTAAGCCAAAAAGAAAATTAATGAACGAATAAAATGCCAAAATTATATATATATATATATTATATATATATATATAATTATATATATATATATATATATATATATATATAATTATATATATATTATTAAATATTTTTTTTTATTGAGAATATTTCATTACTTTCTAGACAGTCAAACGTTTACATACATTCCCTTATTATTGTGTAAAATTGCCTTTAAACTCTATAACTTGGGTCAAACATTTTGGGTATCCTTCCACAAGCTTCTCACAATAGTTTGCTGGAATTCTGGTGCATTCCTCCTCACAGAACTGGTGTAACTGAGTCATATTTGTGGGCTACCACCCCCATACTTTACAGTTGAAATGATGTTCCCAGTCTTGTAATCTTCCCCCTTTTTCCTTGAAATGTAACGATGGCCAAACAGTTAAATTTTAGTTTTATCAGACCACTGAACATGTCTCCAAAAACTAAAGTCTTTTTTTCCTGTGTGATTTTGCAAACTTTTTAGGGTGCTTTTGGAGTACTGTCTTCTATCTAGTCAAGTGGCCTTTCAGCCCATGTCAGGACAGGACTAGTTTCACTATAGATAACGAAACACACACACCAGCTTTAGCCAGCATCTTCACAAGGCCTTTTGGGTTTGTTCTGGGGTTGAAACACATGGTTCGCACCACAGCACATTCATCTCTGAGACACAAAATCCTTCTCCTTCAAGAGTGGTATGATGGCTGGACATTCCCATGTTGTTTATAATTGTGTACAATTGTTTGAACTGATGAGCGTGGCCAATTGTTTGAACTGAAGAGCATTTGAATTGATGAGCCATCTGGAAATTGTACTCAAAAAAGAACCAGATTTTTGGAGTTCCACAATTCTCCTCCTGATGTCTTGGCTGATTTCTTTTCATTTTACCATGTAGTCACACAAAAAAAGCAGTGTGCTTGAGGTTTGCCTTAAATACTAATCAACAGTTGTGCCTCCAATTAACTCAAATGTTGGCAATTAGCCAATCAGAATCTTCCAAATCCTTGTCACCATCATCTGGGCTTTTTCAAAGGCACAGTAATCTTAATGTATGTCGACTTTTGACTTTTAAGAAAAGTTATAAAAAATTCTTAAAGAAATATCTCTCTCATAATTATGCTATTAAGCAAATATAAACATTTTTGGTTATCCTAACTTACTAAAATAAAAAAAAAATTAAGTCACATTTAACATCTGACACTAGAAAAAATGGTTATGTGCCTTTTTATACAGTGTATGTAAACTTCTGGTTTCCAATGTATGTGTGTTATGTGAATAAAACTATAGTTCTTTAAATATATTCACAGCTTTCACCATTCCCATTTGGTAAACTTGAACTAATCATAAACACGTTTACTAAATCTAAAAGAGATCTATCAAATCATATTACCCTGCTGGCATTCATAAAATGCTGAACATGTGATAGTACAGCTGCTCTTTGTTAGGACACCTACCTCCAAACAGGCCAGATGGATATCTTTTATAATGCACTGAGAGCCAGACAGCACTGACTGTTTCAAAAGCAGACAGCTTAACTCCAGGGTGGCAAGACGCACCTTCCCATCTGAAACACACAAGCAATTTGTCCAAATTTATGTCATCACAGCATAGCATCAAGTGCATTAGGAGCAATTGTTCTAATTTTATAGATCAATCAATGTGATCTTTTATAAAAATAAAAAAAAAGCAAAAAAAAAAGAAAGAAAAAAACATCTGACTACTTCTGACCATCTCTGAGTTTCTCTCTTCTGTTTAACATCAAATATCACATTAGGAAGATTATTGGATTTATGGTTTTCCTACTATGGATGTCAATTCTTCAAGAAAATAATATTTTGTGTTTGGAAACCTTTAAGGGTGACTACATGTTTATTTTTGGGAAAAATATCTTTTGAAAAAAGAAGTATATGACATTAAAATAGATTTTATATGATTGTGTGTTACCATAACACCAGCCAAACAACAATGTTGGCACACAAATGTGCTGCAAATGAAAGGAAGATGAGTTCAGCTACTTGTCACGCTAGTGTCACAATGGATTCTGGACGGAAATGTCAAAATCACAAATAGCCAATATCATACAACAGGATGACATCATGTGTATATTGTGGGCTTAATCAGTTCTACATTTTTGTTCTAACTATAGCTGAGTACCAGTTTTGAGCTGTCAGAAAACTATGCAAGAACATGTGATCATGAAGCAAATCGACATTCAAATGTCACAACAATTACATAAGATCTAAAAGGAGAAATTGGCTTTAATTTTTCTTAACAAAGGTGAAAGAAATGGACGGTTAGAGGAAATGGTTGCAGTTTGTGTTACTCAAGGCTGTGGTAAAGGCTACGGATCTAAAGAAATGTATCAGTCAAAAAGGCATTTAAAATGACCCTTTACTAAGCTCTGACCCACTTGGTTGCCGACTCCTGAAGCTTTTCACATTATTAATAAACTGCAAATAGTATGATTTACCTAATAAAGTGGTAAATAATAAAGGGATGTTATTTTGCGGGCTAGAATGTTGCACCGCAAAGTGTTACATCTGCTAATATTTCTTGAAAAAAAAATTCTCTCTAACCTGTGCAGACATCTTTACATTAGAAATAAGCAAATGTCACTTCAGAGAATTATTGTTAGTCAAAACAAAAACTGGTAAAAAAAAAATATATAATAATAATATATATATATATAATATATATATATATATATATATATATATATATATATATATATATATATATATATATATATATATATATATATATATATATATAGAAAAGTAAAAGAGTAAAAAAGTATTTTAAAAAAACAATGAAAGAACAACCGTTTTAAATATATCAATATTTTAAACAAAATAATAGCTCATTTTTAAAAATAAATATATTATAATAGTAAATAAATAATGCTCAAGTACAGTTTTAAAGGAAAATAAAATGATTACAACTGATTATGAAAAGAAACTGACTTGAAAAAAAAAAATCAGACACATTTATTAAGTGAAGTTTCACAAACTAGAGGATTTTGAGAGGAGCACGTGATATGATTGATCGCAGCTGGTCTCACATCTGTAATCATTAGTAAGCCAATCGGATCATTCCAAACTCACTATAAATAGCCCGACAAGCATTACTCCCTCATCTTCGCTTTTTGAAGAATACCCCCATCCACCCCATCTCCACCTTTTCTCCTTTACCAGAGGGAGCTCTCGAGAACTACCTGATCTCGTACCCCTTACATGCTTATTACATGCTTACTAGCCTTTATTTTATTGCTTGCACTTATGTCCTAAAACACTTAATGGTTTCCTTTATGTAAGATAAGTGAATAGTATGCAACATCCTTAAATGATTCTCTTAAATAAAGGGGAATTACCTATTAAGTGTCATATAGCCTATGGAAATATTAAAATGCTTTAGGTCTTTCGGAAGCGTTTGGGCTGAATGTTTGACAGCATTTATCGAATGGAGGATGTTTTATATTATGGATGGTGCACAGTGTCATTTCTCTGTTAGTGGCAAGAGCACTCGATGCACGATGCCAACAATCGGTCAGCGAGTAAACAAATATAATGAATGAAAATACATAGGCCTGTGCGTATAGACATATAACATAATGCTGTACAGTAACATGTCATTTGTTTGTTTTGGTTGTCTTCATTTTAATAGTTTCGTGAATGATGCGATGGTGTGCTTTATCTGTCTGCCTGATTCCTGCTGAACTAGGTGGGTTGTGTGACGTTTGATTGTGGAGACGTTCTAGGGGCGGGGTTTGGGGGAAGCACTGCGGGCTACTAGTCCGACAGTGGAAACGCAGCATGATTTCGGTCTCACTGCTCATGCTCGGCCCAATAAAAGTCCAAGCACACACTGGCACGACAGTGGAAATGCGGCTATTGAACAGGTGGGAGCCCTGGACTCAATTATCTCCGAGCTCAGGGATCTCTCCTAGGACAGCATGCCAAACCTGCTATTAAAATTAAGCAATATCTAAGTATGAACTATTGAAGTACTATCAAAAAAATAAAAATGAAAATAAAAATCCAACCAGGTACATTTTGATTTATTTAATGTTTAACCACTTTCTAGTTTGGACGAAGATCAGATGTCTTAAAAACACACCTGATATTTGTCAAACAAACCACACAGAAGAGGTTTTGTTTAAGCTGTGTGTGTACATAAAAAGTTGCTCAATCACCTGGCTGAAGGATCAGTAAAGGACTACACTGAATAAATACTGAGTGCTTTGGTTTATATAGTCAAGTTCAGACACACCAGTGGAATCTGCAGCTTGAAATATTAAATGAGCATGTCTAAGCAAGTGAAGGATTATTTTTGGAATCATCAGTAAATGTGCGAATGATACGAGTAGGACGTGCGTGTGTGTGTGTGCTCGTTTTTAGGTCTATGTACCTGGTTGAGCAGCTTGGCTCATGATTCGGATCACTCTCTCCACCAGCACCTGACTGTAAGTGTTCCTCTCTTGACTCGGCACAGGTAGCTGGATTCTTTCCAAGAGCTCTGGGTTTATACCTGCACATACACACAAGCTCACATAAACAAGCTATAAAAATAACTATGAAGTCATCTAATTTGTTACATTGGTGCAACCACATAATCATTGCATCGCAGTGTTAAGCATTATTAATTGTCCGTGTACCTACGCATAATTTCTTTCCTCATTTTTGTTCATGCTAAATTTAAACTCTCTCACAGACATAAAAATGTAGTTTTGTCAATTTTGTATTTTTCTTTCTGTCACATTTTGTTTTTAAACACAAAATGAAAATGCAAGTTAACCGAAATGAATAAATGACTTTAAAATATGTTCTTTGTGCCCTCTCTCCGCTGATTGGTTGACCAAACTTCAAACTGTGCCGTCATCAGCTCTTAGTCAGTTTTGTCAATTTAACTCAATAACTCAATTCATGGTCTACTGTCTGGCCATGAATTCGGCAGACGCACATTTTTAAAATAATATTTTATACCATACGCTATTCGAAATATCTGATATTGCAATATTTAATTTTTCTGCAATAAATATTGCAATATTAATACAGTTTCTGAATACAGTTTTTTTTCTGGGAGGTCTAACAGTATTCAGGTACAGAAACTGAAAAATTACAATACAAACATGCTTTTCTTACTTTGCCTGGTGTCATTTCTAGAACTAATTTCTAAAAATTTGGATTTTTTCTTTAAAAAAAAAAATGTTATTTTTGCTTTAAAATGTAGATCTCTGAACTAGAAACAAGACAAAATTTGTACGATTTTTTTTAACAAAAAATCTTATAAATAATTCAATGCACTTCCAAGCATCATTATTTCTTGTGCCAAAATGTGGTCCAATTTTAAACTCTCTTTAAATGCAGTCACTTAAAAACATGTTTTATACTTGTGAATTATTTAACTAAACTTTCACTCGATTATGGTTAAACTTAGCAATGACTCAATAAATCAAATGTATTCTGTGGCTCCTGATCAACTATGATTCAGACTGAGAATTACATATTCTGCGATGTGACTATTGCAAATGAGCACATTGCAATATCGATATGGAAGCGATATATAGTGCAGGCCTACTGCATCTTGAATATAACACATAACTTTGCAATCATAGCCAATAATAAGCCCCAAAAAATTGTTAAGACCTTTTCACTGTAATGTCAAAGCGACATTCATAACCATCACATGATCATTTTATTATGATGAATTGTTGCTCAATAAACATTTCTGCTTATTCTCAATGCTGAGAACAGCTGTAAAAATACAATAGCTGTTTAAACCTTTTTGGAAACCAGAACCATTTTTTTCCTCATTTTTATTTTTTTGAAGGAAGTTCAAAAGAAATGGTTTCATTTCTGCCTTTACTGTTTGTACAGTTCCATACTCATTCATTCATTTTCTTTTTGGCTTAGTCTCTGTATTAATCAGGGGTTGGGAATGAACTACCAACTTATCTAGCATATGTTTAACACAGTGGATGCCGCAATTCAGTACAGGAAAACACCCATACACTCTTGCATTCACACCCACACATAAAGTACTGATAATTTAACTTAATTAATTCACCTATACCACATGTCTTTGGATTGTGGGGGAAAAACGAAGCACCCGGAGGAAACCCGGGGAGAACATGCAAACTCCACACAGAAATGCCAACTGACCCAGCTGGGGCTCGAATCAGCGACCTTCTTGCTGTATCGCCCCCTAGTTGAATACTACATATTTCAATACAACAGTATACCATAGTAATGTTGTGGAAATATTGTGGGTACTTCAAAACAAAGCTGATTATTTTGTCTCCACATTTTTATAATATTATTATTTTTTTTTTATTACTTTTTTAAGGGCAACTTATTTGGTTAAAATAGAGGTAAAATATATATTTTTAAAACAGGTAAAATAAAGATGCACATATATTTTGATATAGAGAAGATCATGTATAAAGTACTACAATACAGTTATCTGTATAATGTTATGTAAATAATGTCAGCAATGGCAATTTGCATCATTTTATTGACACGTACAACACCCTTTTTTCTTATTTGACAACCACAAAATTGGTAAATCAAACATTAGTGTCAATTAGTATGCTTTGCTTAAGTCTATTATTCCTGTGAAGATTAGATACCTTTACTGTGAGACATGGCATACAGGAGGCAAAGCACAAACAGTGCCTGGTAATCCTCTGTGTCGCAGTCCAATGCAGAATACAACATGTCCAGGAAGGGCCTTAAAAAACAAACAAATAAGTCAACAGCCATCATTTCCACTCTTCAAAACAGCAAATCTACCCACTGTAATGAGGACAATGTGCAAAATATTCAGTGCATGGTTTATGATGATATACTGCATTGTCTGAGAGTTGCAAACATGTAAGGCAATGACTAGGTGAGCTATTATCTGGAAATCAAACAGGATATAGTCTGGGGATAAGAAGCGCATTTTTTATGTAGACTAATGGTGCACGAACTAAAAGTGTGACTGTCTCCCTTTTTCAATGGCCTGCACTCACATTACTCTTTAAATGTAGATGGCCAAAGCACTTATTTGTGATGTTTACAGTGCAACAATTTACTTGAGAAAAAAATAAACAAATAAAAAAAATTTGGAAGAAAAAGCTTTGATGATTGACGATTTTTGCCTCTTAATTGTCCTGCATGGATCAGAAGATTATTAAGGAGGCATCTGGTGTTGGGCAAGTAATTAAAGGGTTCTTACACCTTTTCCAACTTCAAATTCCAGCACTTTTCAAGCACTTTCAAGGTGCATTTTTATGTTTTTCCAGCACCTAACAACCACTGTAAATTACGATTATATATAGAGTATATGTTTTTTTTTTCTTTTTACATTTAAATCCATTGTGCTATTAAAAAAAAACACAATAAGGCATTTCAACCTAAATTGTTGAATACTTTGGAGCATAGATTTATTGACATTTATTCACAGACTTTACAGTGAATGATTAAGTCATTTTCAAAGTGGACTTTAACCCACCAGAAGTTTTTTTTATCCACTCTTCGAAAAGTGTAAAGGGTGGATTAACATTCACCACAAGATCACTGATCAGATGTGCCATTATCTGCAACTTTAGGTGGTTTCTAAAACAAAATCTGTCAGTGTTATTTTCATTCTCTCGTATCCAGACATTTACATTTATGTGGTTGTAGCTCCCTGTCATCTGAACCAAGTGATTGACAGCTGATATTAACCAATCCATTCACATTCAGTTCAAGAGCAGTAGGTCAATCAGAAGCACTGCAGGCTTTGTTTACTGCAGCAAGTTGACATTTCAACTGTTTCAACTATTTCTGTGTGCTGCGTTTTGCTTTTTTTTTTTGGTGCAGATATGCATTCTGCGTGAACGTCTCCTAAATCTGCGCAAGTGGTGAACATTTTGCAATGAAAACTGGTCGTACAGCAACTATTTGTGTGTGTACTCACACATATGCCCTCAAATATATTTTGAGCTTACATAGATAAAATGTCAGGCTTTTATGCAAGCAAAACAGTCGCAATTTTAAACCCTGCAATTTCAAATTCAAGCAGGTTCATGCACTTTGCCTGAAATCCAAGCACTTTTCTAATCTTGAAAACACTATTTTAAAAATCAAGTATTTTCCAGGATTTCCAGCACCTGTGCGAGCCCTGTAATTAGCAACCATTTCTTAGAAACTACAATTTACGTTTATTGATAAAATGAGAACTAGGTCTGTTACAAATCTAAATATACTCGAATGCACTAAATTATTTGAAAAATGTACTATTTAAAAATTAACAAAAGATGTTTTAACGTGGGTCAGGAGATAATTTGGAGTCAGATTAATCGTATTTTGAATGTCTGAAAAAATGTTGTTCGTTTGCAAATGTACAACTTTCTTGTAATGACTACGTTTTTAAGTCTCAAATGATGTTCAAACAAACGATTTCTGTGAAAATGGCTTTTTCACAGACATGCCGTGTGTGAATTGAAACTCGAGAAAAAAAAAAAATCCGTTTTGGATTAGCTTGGGAGACAGTCTGCACATGTCCTAGGCTCTCTTTCCCTGGAGCATGTCAACCAAAACAGAAAAGCTTTGCTGCACTTCAGTGGAACTGAGAGTAACAAGCCAATTGCAAGATCATTGATTCAATCGGTTCAATGCTCGCCAAGACTTTAAACACTCACAAAGCCTTATTTCTGATTAAAAGAAACAACTAAAACTGTTGCTACTCAAATTTCACTTTATTTTAAATAAAACACACCGCTAAAGTAAGAATTGTGACATAATGCACTAATATATTTTTCCTATTTTTTTATCAGAGTTTTTACAGGTTTTATCAAGTCAAATTGAAGACTTTAAGACATTTAAGATCTTTTTAAGACCATTATGATTGAAATTTCATACTTAAGGCTAAATGCTAAACACCTTAAAGCTAAAAAAAATAAAAAAAACTGTGGAAGACAAGAAAACCATATTGGTAAGTTGAGTTATAAACTTTTATTAAAACTTTTTTGAGATGGAATGTTAGTGACTGGATGGGTGTTAGTCTGATTGGGTAGCTTTACATAGACGTAGTAAAATTAAGATCTGTTTATAATTATTTAAGACCTACAGTACAATATTTCAGTTAATTAAAGACTTTAAAGCCTTAAACTTTGTTTTTTTAAATTTAAGACCCCGGTAAATGTCCTGTACATGAAAACTAAAATGAGTAAAATTAGCTTTTTATACTTCAAAATAAAGAGTAAAGCCATATATTTGGTCAGATGCTTTACTTATTTTGAATTGTAATAAGCTCATATGTGTATAGTTAAAACATTTTGAGGACTGTTAAATTTAACTGAAAATCATTTAAAAATACTGCCGGGGAAAGAGCTAATTTTGTAAAGTTGTTCATAAATGTTTTTATTTCTGAGCCAATAAATGCAGTGTTTTCTGTAAGGCCTGAGCTGAAGGTTTTGATTGAGTACCTGCTCTTCTGTCCTTCAGATCGTGCTGCTGCAGCTGCGCTCTTCTCCTCGTCTGTAATGTTTTGTTCTGTTAATGTGGAAACGTCAGAGATCCGACATTTTTCCATCACTACCATCTCAATTTCTGCAAAAACACAAACAAAACACAAAGAGTATAACAACAGAGCTGGATTCCAACCCTCCGTATGTCAGATGTCAGCTAGTATGTCAGATTCCTGAAGTAAACTTATCTGACCCACCCAAACGTAAACTAAAAGGCCGACAATGAAATGAGTGTATGCCTGCAGACATTTCTTTCAGCAAGTGAAATCACGCATTTGCATTAAATAACTTCCAATACTGAATCTAACAGTGCGAGTCATAAGGGAACGCTTCCTAAATGTATATAGTAAAAGTTTGTTATTAACACACAGATATTAAAGGATTAATATCTAGCCTAGACTAAATTTATTTATTTTTCAATATGCAGTGCCAATAGAAAAATCAACATTCCTCTTTGAAATAATTACTTCATTTATCATACAGCCTAAAAACAAAATCACATTCCAACTATTACAGCCCTTGAATTTTTTTGTAGCCTTCTGCTTCAGTATCTGTGCATTTCTACGACTTTTGAAAGCAGGGATGTAGTGTGAGTAAAGCTATAGATTTTCACAGGGTATGATGACTTTCTATAGGCACTGTATATTCATGACAGTTGTTTCATTGACTGTAAAATATAATATCACTGTTGATCAAATAATTGCAGTCCTGGTAAAAATATGAGTTAAAAAGTTAAATTGTTATTTTGAACGATTTTTAAATTTAAGTTTTTATTTGTTCTTTATATTCTCTTGTGTTATATATGCATGTATGTATTTATATACAGTGCTTCCCACACATAGACTTCACTTGAGCGGGCCGTCTAAGTATATTAACGGCTGCCCAAGTATATTTAGTCTTTTTTTTTTTTTTTTTACAGTTATTAACATAATTTTACATAATTTGTTTGTATCCGCCTAATATAACCAAACATCCCTAATCAATAAAAGGTGCAGTAGGTGATTGTCTTCAGAAACATTTTTTGTTGTGCTGGTTGAAATTCTCTTCACAGTTCAATAGAAATTATTACAGTAAATGATGTAAATGTATTTATATGTATTTTTATATTCTGGATAAGACATAAAACTAAAAAATGTTCATCCAATTAAATATTCTATATCTATATCTCCCAAAATTCTGATATCTCAAACTGTCTATCAGCAAATGCAGATTTGGACTTCTGCGCATGTCTTTTCACTCAGATCCGCAATTCACGCGTGCTCGCATGCATGAGCGCTGCGCGTTCACAACATCTGCTGCACACACGACAAAATCACAAACGCGGTGAAATCAGATGCTGAATTGAAACTTTTGAAAATCCTAAATCAATATTTAAGTTACTTTTGCGCGCTGGAGGAAGGACGACACCATAGCTGAAGTATTACTGTTAGGAAATGTTCTGTTTTAAAACTATTTTAGTCGGGCTAAGCTTATGTTAGATTGTGTTGTGTTATGAATGGCTTATATGCACCTATATTTTACAGTCTATAATATGCACAGGAGTGTTGTTCAGCCACTGCAATCTCCCGGCGAAAGATTGAACTATTTTCAGTTTTATAAGGGACCTTTGACAGCATCGATAATGTAGATTCTTATTTAGTTTAACAACAAAACATCAGTAATATCGCTATTTCGCCTAGCCTGCTTTATTTATTTTAGCGCATAAAAATGACAACTATTTATATCTTGGAGCTATACCAAGATCCTTATTTATTTAAATCAATATATTTATTTAAAAAAAAATGTTTTATACATATTTAAAATTAATGTATCATAGGCATTATTTTTGATGAGAAAAAAAAAAAATCTATTGCAATTTATGGGGGAAAATTTACACTTACTTACACTTATTATTTTGATGCTTGAAAACAGAGCTACTGGAAACTGTAACAAATTCAATGCATTTTAGTGCATGCTTTATTAATATACAGTAAATTCTGGAAAGTTACTTTGATTTCAGTAACATTTATGTAAATCTCGAACTTTAACTCCCTTAGAAAATCTATGGTTGAAGACTACATAAGGGACAACTAAACGCAAACATCCTAAATCCTGTATACTTCTAAAATTGTACTCGGTGTTACAGAGAAAAAACCTAAGCTAGAAGCAACGGATGTTTGCCACTGAACACGCAATCCTCAAATTAGTCTTAAACTTTAGTTACTTCAATTAACACTGGTTGTGTGCCAGACCGGAGAAAGGACAGATGAAGGAATGACATCATCACACAGAGGAATGAACAGGACAGGAGATTGGGGCTTAGCTCATGTTCCCCACCAGCAAGATTAAGGAGACAGACTAAAGTTTTTTTTTTCCATCGTGGGAGAGGGTGGGGGTGAGGCTTTTGCCCAATCGGAGACTGAGGTGAAGAGCACACAATGAATGTGGACCAAAGAGACCGTGCTAAAACACAGAAAATGACGTGAGCAGGTGGAGTGCTCTCGCAACTGGCAAAACAATTCAATAAACAGGCAAAACGGGATTTGGTCAACTAGAAGGTGTTGCTGGATCATCAATGCCATACATCAGATTTCAAATTAATTCTCCGAAACGATCAAAGACCAAACCCTGGCCTATCCCTAAATTCGTTGGGAAAAGATTGCAATATTGTTTACATAAATAACCCAAGGAGTGTTTCTTTTTTGTTTAATGCCACGCCAGCTTACATTCATGGTTGAATAAAAAATTAGACTAATTCTTTCTAAAAACCTTTAAAGCTATATACAAATTACAAATTGCTCAACAGAATAAAACAAGCTCCTTAAACGATGTAAAAAATTACAGTCTAATAAAATATGTTTAATAAACAGTGTTTTATTTTTTTTACATTCTGGTCAATTTGCCATGAACGTTAAAATTTTGAGCATAAGTTTTAAATATTCTATCATTGAATCTAGAACAAACTTTAAAAGGAAACATGTAAAACTTGAACTTATGTTTTAAACTTAAAATTGGCTTTATTAATTATTGCTGTGACTCAAAATGTACTTGGACGATTTAAAATATAATTTCTTTTTTTTTTTATAGCCTTTAAACAACATCAAGCGGATTAAATAATGACCTATTTTCAGGTGATCTTTTTCAAATACAGTTGAAATCAAAATTCATAGCCCACATGTGAATTCTTCCCCAAATTATGTGTAACAGAGCATAGAGTTTTTACAGTATTTCCTATAATATTTTTTCTTCTGGAGAGTCTTAAGCTGCATTTACACTGCAGATCTTGATGGTCAATTCCGATTTTGTGACTATCCGTTTTTTTGGATGACCCGCTTACATCACCTTTTGTAGTGACTCGTATCTGATTGTTAGCATTTAAACAGCACACTGCAAAGGGACAATGTTCAGGGTTTCTTTTTTTTTTTCTTTTTGACAAGTTGTTTTGCTATAGTTTATGACAGAAAAATTCTCATTTGTACATATTTTTTTAATTGAAGCTTTTTTTAAACCAGTAGGAATTTTAATGTTATGTCCATAATGTGATTTATGCACGTCTTGTATGCAATAGTTATATATTAGTTTATATCGTTTACATGGTGGATGTTGTGCTCACGCTCTCTCATTAACATCCTTAAATACTTTCGCTACATGACAGTATAAAAGCTTTTTTGTCCTTAGATTTAAGAGTTGGGACTCTGCTAAAGTCTGATCTAAAATGAAAGCGTCAGACTTGACGTCATTCGCTACAGGTTTTAATGACCCCCGATTCACATTGACAGGTAAAAATCTGATCTACCTGCTTACACTACAGACACAAGGGCTAGTCATGGGCTAATAAAAGCTTCTGATGGTATGATAACCTAGGATAAAAATATCACGGTATCACTGTAATATGATTTCTGCTCTACAATAAGCTCTTTTAAATATATTAGTAAAAAACAACACATAGATTTCCACATTGAATTCAATATACAGTTTTCATTTTCACACATTTATAATATTTTGGAACAGTAAACATGTCAAGCTAAATAATTAAAATAAATCATTGACTTCTACTAGGTTCATTAGTTTACAAAAGAGATATCTTTCTAACACATAAAAAAAACTTTACATATACCCTAGGAACGGTATATAACAGAAAATTATTTCATTCATTCATTCAGGATAAATTTCCACATGGCCTGAATCATGGCCTGAATCTGATTTGAGTACATTTGAATCCATGTGATTTTTTCCTGCTTACACATACATGGGCCATATCCGATATGTGCTACATAGGAGAAAAAAGTAAATAAAAAAAATCAGAATTGGGTCACTTGAACCATGCAGTGTAAACACAGAATTATTTGTTTTATTTTGGCTAGAATAAAAGCATTTTTAAATTTTATTTAAATCATTTTAAGGACAATATTATTAGCCCCCTTCAGATATATATATTTTTTTGATTGTCTACAGAACAAACCACAATTATATAATAACTTGCCTAATTACCCTAACCTAAAAGCCTTTAAATTACACTTTAAGCTGTATAGAAGTGTCTTGAAAAATATCTAGTCAAATATTATGTGCTGTCTTCATGATAAAGATAAAAGAAATCAGTTAATCAGTTATTAGAAATTAGTTTTTTTTTTACTTCAAATCTAAATCTCACTATTTCAAATTTGTAAACAGCGCGGGACAAAAAAAATCTAAATCACAAAAACCGCAGGTGTTCTGTCAGTTTTGAGAGCAGAGCCACAGCCGAAGTGTGGTGTGATCCAAAGAATGGAGGGTCAGTCAGTCATGCTGGGACATTCATCTAGTGCTACTCACCTTCCTTGTCCCCACTTGTCCTGCTGGCCTTTGAACTAGCCTCTGTACCTTTAGCCTTTTCCTTCTCTTCTTCTGGCCCTTCATCCGATCCCCGCTTCTCCTCTTCTTCCTCTCCCACGTTCTTGTAGTTGGGTCTTTTCTGCGCCCTCTTCCTCCCGCGCTGACGACTCATCTCCAGGGAACGCTCCAGGCTCTCTAGTGGCTTGGTGAAGCGGCGAACACCAGCATTGCTCTAAAATATAAAATAAATAAATAAATAAATAAATAATACAGGTGAATGTGGCATATAGTAAATAAGACATAAAAATGGTGTTCTTGTACAGAATAAATAATAAAAAGTACAACAACAACAACCCTTTTAAACTCAATTCCTGAAGGGCCAAAGCTCTGCATAGTTTAGCTCCATTCACCTACAACTCACACCTGCCTAATAGTGTCTAGTAGTCTTGAACACCTTGATTAGTTGGATCTGGTGTGTTTGATCAGGGATGAAGCAAAACTGTGCAGAGCTGCGGGCCTACAGAAATAGAGTTTGAGACCTATGATAATAATAATAATAATAATAATAATAATAAACAATATAAAACAAATAACAAAACAAATTCACTTTGTTAACAAACAATTTAGAGTGTCTTTATTACAAGGCCTCAATAAACTCTTAAATCCTTGCTTAATATTGGTCAGTAATGTATTTTAGGTACTGGCTGGATCAGTATTATTGAATTTGAATATGTACTTTATAAATACTACACAGCCAGTATATTAATAACAGGCGTACTAAGTGTTACCAAGGTTACATTAGTTAATATATTTACTAGCACGAGCCAGGAATAAACAATACTTGTAAAGCATCTATTAATCATAGTTTCACATTTACTAATACATTATTAAAATCTTGCTAATAGTAGTTAATGCACAAATTGAACAAGAATTAACAACAAATAACTTTATGACTGTCAACTAAGATTAACGAAGATAAATAAATACTTAAATATATTGTTCATTTTTTGAAAAATAAATGATTACTGAAATGTATTTAATATTTTGTATAAAAGGCTATATTTGGTATTGACTGCTTCTAGATGTCTCTTGTTTAAAAAAGTTTAATTCTGACCATTATTTTTTAGGTCCCACTTTATATTAAGTGGCCTTAATTACTATGCAATTACATCAAAATATAAATACAATATACTTAATGTGTTCATAATGTATTGAAGAACACCCGTGGTGCTTTTCAGGTGGGATACAGGTGTGTTTAGGGACAGGTTTGGTGATATGGGCAGGTTTAAGAGTGGGTTAAAATGTAAGGCATGTTAAACAGTGAGATAATAAATCTAATTACAAAAATTAATTACATGCAGGTGTTTACACAAGCATAAGTACAATGTAAAAAACTTGAATTTACACAATAACTACATGGTAACAAACTATTAATTTCCGTGCAAGTACATATTATTTAAGGCCATTTTTATTTTCTGTTGAATTCAAGTCAAGTGATGGGCCGGGCCATACTAGGAGCTTTATTTTATTCCTGAAAGCAGAAGATAGTTTCCTTGTCTGTGTTTGGAATAATTGTCTTGCCCAAATGTTTACCCTGTTTTCATCTTCATCATCCTGGTAATGTAGATGTTGGGATTTAAGCAGCAAATATTAATTTACACTGATAAGAGCCAGGGTTGTTTTATAAAAACAGGGAGATTTCAGATGCTGTCTGGGCTTTCCATGTCTTTTTAAACCTCCCTTTCTTCATGTGTTCAATGCCTTTCCCCTGTAATAAATTTTATTACACATAACTTTTCTTCTAAACTAATTAGTTGTGTCTTCTTTGCATGTGTGTTATCAGGCAAACTAGTGAAAATCAAATGCAAAGCTAATGAAAAATAAGCACATTTATATACAAAAAATAATGAAAGAATAATAATAATTATTTATATATATATATATATATATATATATATATATATATATATATATATATATATATAAAATTATTATTATTCTATATACATATACACATACATATATCCACATACATTAGAAATATACTGCGTCTTTGTTTTGGAACGACACATTCGCACATAACCCATCTCGTGTAACAGCAATAGCTGCTTTTGCACTTAAAGAGACAGTGAAAGGAAAAAAGTCTCTGGCTTCTGAGAAACAAGAAGCCGCTAAAACAGGAAACAGCTGCCAAACAGTCAAGGACACAAATGTAAAATGTAGAATGGCTAGTTGTGCTGTTTCTGAAGATCTCCAATAACTCTTCAGACATAAAAAGCTGTAGGCAGTGATGCTGGACTGCACACTGATCAACCCATTCATGACGTCCGTACGAAAAATAAGTCGTTCATTCTTAGAACGGAAGGAACAAAATGAGAACAATCACCTGCTCGTGGTCTCACAGATGTGTTATTGCACTCTGAACCACTCTGTCTGCTCTTCAAAGAACGCCTACAAGGATTCAAAGAACCCAGCTCTACTGTTTCAATACATGATACGACCATCCAGCTTCTGAACTGTGACTTTTTGAAGGTGTCTGGTAGCACGAGTTAACAAACAACTCTCCACAAAGAAAAAAAAAGGGACCACAGCAGGTCACAGTGACACGGTGCAAAGTACATGCAGCTTGTAGCAGAGAACTGGAGTGCTCAGTAGGACACCGCATTCGCAAAAAGAAAAAAAAAAAGAAAAAAAGTCATCTGTGGTCTGCCTGTGGTCACAGACCTAATGAGTGAATTCTATTCAAAGTGCAATCTACACTGCGCTGTTTACGAGAAAGATCTGGCAGATATGGCAGGTGATGATATCACTTTCTGAGACAGATAAAAAAAAAAAACATAATAATCAATGAGTGGAACTTATTAAAATGTGGTTGTCTGAGATGGACTGCATCTATCAGACATGCGAGACGTCATTATTTATGCACGCCGCATTGATGCAACATTCACCCCAGCCGACCAAAAAGACCAAGTTGCATTTGCATAAAAGCCTAAAATGTGACAACCGCTTGTTTAACTTCCAGAAACGGGTCACTAAAACATGCCGCCAGGCTGCAGGTGTGATTCCAGCAAACTGCGTCGCAGGTGTGTGTGTGTGTGAGCGTTTTTATACACGTGCACCTTGCTCACTGTGCAGTATGTAAATCGTATAATGAGAAAACAGGGGAAGCTTCTAATACGGTGGTGGTTTTGCCCTTCATCTCTGCACTACATAAACTTCATACTTCCTGTCATCTGCGCAAGGACCTGTTTGAAATCCAGATCTACACAGTCGTCGTCTTCTGCCTAGTCCCTTCTGTGCTCATCCTCTACCTGTGGCTTGCGGTGAAAGGAACATCATGTGATGTGTGCATGCGTGTGTGCGTGTATGTTTGGTTGTCAGAAGATTGCTGGTAACACATAGGTACCAGCAGCTATTTCACAGGCTTTACGGGAAAGAGAGAAAGTAGGTTAGAGGCAGTGCGGTTGATGGTGTGAGGCAAATCGCTGAACATCAGAGCAACAGGAGCCACAGTAAAAGGCACACCAGAACTCTGCATTTACATAAGGATTTCCACTGGCTTCCTAACAAAGCACTTCATGACAGGCCATAACAAGCTTGTGCACAATTATTGTTCAAACAAAAAAAAAAAAATCTGTTTAAAATAAATTTAGAATAAAAAAGCAAGATAAAATGGAAGCTGTGCCATTTCAGAGCAATAATTCTTTGGTAATTCTAGTAGTGTTATTGCTTTTGAAGGATGCATTTTGCATTCCTCAATTATGTTATTGCGCAAAATTAAACCAAGTTAAATTTATTAAATAAATATCCTTATGCAAGAGAATGCAAGATGAAAATAGAAATCGTGCCTTTTCAAAGCAATCATTCTGAGTAGGGTTGTAACGGTATGAATTTTTTACGGTATGATAATCGTCTAAAACAATACCACGGTTTGACGGTTTCGCGGTATACGGTATGTTACAAATGTTACAAAATAATAGAACAGTGAAGCAAATTTGACTTTTTCCAAATAATATATTTTTAGTTACTATAAACAACACCACTTACAATGAACAAATAAAAAAATAATAAAATAATAAATAATGTGTCAAAGTCCAAATAAAGTCCAAATAAACATGGTGCAAATACTCAGTAAAAAAATAGATATAAATATTTACTATACTATAAATAGTTACATAACGAAACTAGATTCAATATGGAACATCCTTAGGTTTTATGTGCCAGCATGGATATGGTTGTCTGTGGATATGGACAGACAAACAGCTGCACCTTCATTTGCGTCTTTTGAAAACAGCAAGAGCAGCAGTTCTTCTTTGCTGTGTCACTGTTTTGTCATGTTTCTTTGCTGCTGTGCATGCAAAAGTACTTAGTATGAGAATTATTTCTTTTTTTTTTGCGTTTTATTTAGCCACGCATAAATGTATGCCCATCTCTCATTCCGTGTTGTTCAAAAAGCTTGGTCCACAAACAAAAGTGAAACCTATGCTTATTGGTTGTGATATAGCGAGTTTGAACCAATCTGGGCATGGAGGAGGGACAATGCATCAATGTATCATGTCTGATTTGTCCGGAGACACAGTGACGAGCGTTTCTTTGTCAAATCAGCGTGGTCAAATTTTGATGACGTAACCACACTGATTCCGGAGCCTCTGAAAGTCCGCGAATGTTATGTGATACAGCACTGGAAAGCTGAGATTCTCTTCTTTATGCCAATCCTTGAATTGTATGAATCGGATCAGCGGATCAAAAGTTATTAAACATTTAAGAGCAATACTTATTTTTAGCCGCGGGCGGCTGTCTCGGTCTTTAAGGGTTAAAACCGTTGATATGCAATTGTTCATGGTATGATAATCGTGCACGTTCAAATCGTGGTAAACCGTCATACCGGTATATTGTTACAACCCTAATTCTGAGCAATAATTCTTTACTGTCAATAGTGTTATTACTTTTGAAGAATGAATGTCTCATGCATTCCTTTGTTATATCACTTTAAAGCGACTGCTAAATTGTTTTTACGCAATTATTTTGTAATTAACAAATTCACCTGAACAAATTCAGGTTCTAAAAAGAGAAAGACTAAAAAGTGTTGACTTTCATATTAAAAACATTCTCGTCAAACTTATTAAAAATGAAATCAAGATAATGCACCAAGTTTTTCATTAGAAGAGATCCGTTCAAAGATTTTAAATATATGTTGGCAGAAAGAGAAAAGCAGCTGAGAATATTAGCGGA